ACATCGCCAACGCACTCACACGCCCCACCGCCCAACTTCACGCCATCCTACTCACCTAAACCAACCCACTTCTATCAGCCCTATTCACCCACGGATACAGTACCGACCCATTTTTCACGATCGGAAATTCAATTCACAGGAACTGGCAGAGGCTAAAGGAGTGTATTACGTAAAAACAGGCACCAACCGCATCTGGGTACCCGCGTATTGACTACTGAGGGAACTATTACTGCAGGAAGCACATGACGGGATTACCTCATGACATTTTGGGGTAGAAAAAACGTGACAGCAACTGCAGCGGTATTACTATTGGCCAGAGCTGTTGACTGACGTACAACACCACGTGGGCTCATGTCCTACGTGTCAGGTGATGAAGAGCTCGCGAAAAAAAAAAGGCGGGTCAGTTGCAGCCGATTCCACCGCCTGAGTATGCCTAGCAGCAGGTTACCATGGATTTCGTCATGGGGTTACCTTCGAACCCTGGGGGTAACGACGCGATTATGGTCGTCGTTGACAGATTGACGAAAATGGCACACTTCGCTGCGTGCAAGAAATGCCAAAACTAGTCTATGAGAAACAAGAATGAGCAAAGGAGGGAGTGCACTAGTAGCAGTTGGCATACATATAGGAAACCCTAATTGGGTTGTACTCGCTATAGAGTACCCCACTGTAGGCTAGACAATAATAACATTCTGACACACCCCCATAGCCAAAGTGGGGTGTAATCAGCACAATAAGGAGGCATAGCATTAGTTCACAATTATAAGCAAAGTTAGAGGTAATCATAGAGGGCAAGTGAGGAGGAGGAGGGACTGTGAGGGGAGAGAAGATTGGAGACGACGACTGTGTCAGAATGTTATCTTATGCTTTAGCCTGTAGTGGGGTGCTCTATAGCAAGTACAACCCTTCTAGGGTTTGCTATTTGTATCCTCATTCTCGCTAGTGCAGCCCTCTTCTTCCTTCTAAATTCTAACATGCTATCAGAGCAGGTCGATCCCCTTGGATCGATCCTGTGGGTGAGCTCACCACCTCGTTGCTTCCGCTGCAACTACCGCTGCTACTCTCTGTGCCGCACGCCCCGTGGCGTGCGGCAGGTTTTTCTTCCCGCCGTGCGCCCCGAGGCGCGCGGCGGTTCTCTGCCCGCCGTGCGCCCCGAGGCGCGCGGCGGTTTTCTGCCCGCCGTGCGCCCCGAGGCGCGCGACGAGTTTCTGCCCCGTCACTCGGCGCAGCCCCCCCCGGGAGGCGCTGCGACGGGCGACAGGGACCCGCGCGTCGCACCCCGTCGCCCTACCTACGGCCCCGGCCCCGTCGCCCTACCTGCGCCCCGGCCCCGTCGCCCTGCCTGCGACCCCGGCCTCGTCGCCCCACCTGCGACCCCGGTCCCGTCGCCATACCTGCGGCCCCGGCCCTTCCCCGTCGCCCTACCAGCGCCCCGGCCCCGGCCCCGTCGCCCTACCTGCGACCCCGGCCCCGTCGCCCCACCTGCGTACCGGCCCCGTCGCCCTACCTACGGCACGTGCACCCCCCCCCCCCCCCCCCCCCCCCCTTTTTCCCGTCGCCCGTCGCGGCTCCTTCGGGGGCCGCAGGGGCGACCTGAGGGGTGGCGAGTAGGGGGTGGCGAGTATGGGGGTGGCAGTTGTGCATTCCTCCCTTTTCTCCTCCTCCTCCTTCGTCTCCCACTGCTGCAGCTGTCGCTGAGGGGGGTGGATGAGTGGGAGACTGGGGTTTAGGGTTTAAGGGGGGTGAAGGGGGAGTGGAGCTAGCGGTGTAGCAGCGGGTGTGTGCCAGGGGGGAGTGGGATAGTTTGGGGAAGCTGAATGGAGGTTGCCGTCGTGTCGCCAGCAGCACCTGTATTCCGGGAACTTCGTCCGGTAGCCCAGTCGTAGCCAGCAGTGCCAGCCGCCCGTGGGTCCGTTGCTCCTCTGCCGCTACTTTAGCCGCGGGGCCAGTTACTCCAGTATTCCGGAGCGTTGTTCCGGTAGCCGCTGTGCCAGTGTGCCTCCTGTTGCCTGTGTGTCTGCAGCTTCATCCGTCGCCTCCTATCTCCTCTCCTCTCACTCTCTCTCCTCCTCCTCACTTGCCCGTTGTGACTACCACTAGCTTTGCTCATAATTGTGAACTTTAAACTATTGCTTCTTGAACTTGTGCTCAGAATGTGTGGTGACATTGTGATCCACCCTGAGCTTGTACTGCTTTGCTTGCTCTGCTGATTACACCCCACTTTGGCTATGGGGGTGTGTCAGAATGTTATCTTATGCTCTAGCCTGTAGTGGGGTGCTCTATAGCGAGTACAACCCTTCTAGGGTTTGCTATTTGTATCCTCATTCTTGCTAGTGCAGCCCTCTTCTTCCTTCTAAATTTTAACAGACTGAAGCTGCAGATACACGGGCAACAGGAGCGTGCACACAGTCGCTACCGGGACAGCGCCCCGGACTACTGGAGTAACTGGCTCGGCGGCTACGAGGAGCGGCAAGAGCAACGGACCCATGGGCGACAGGCACAGCAGGCTCTCTGGGCTACCGAGGGCACGAGGGCTCCAGACTACTGGCACTGCAGGCGACACGACGGCAGCCTCCACGCAACCTCCCCCGGCCGTCCGACACCCCTCTCACACACCCCCTGCTGAAACCCTAGCTCCACTCCCACGGCACCACCCTTAAACCAGAAACCCTCGGCTCCCACACACCCACCCCCCTCAGCGGCAGCTGCAGCAGTGGGAGACGGAGGAGGAGGAGGAGCTGCAGGTTACCCACACTGGTCACCCCCATGCCCGCCACCCCCAAACCCTAACGCAGGCAGGAGCGCGGGAAGCAGCAGGGGCGGTTCACGGAGGGAAAGGGAGGCAGCGGGGGGGTCTCCTGGGCGCCACGAAGGAGCAGGGCGCGGGCCCCTCGAGGGCGCCACGGCGGGTGACGGGAGGGGGGCCGCGCACGGGCCCCCGAGGGCGGCTTGACGGGCGACAGAAGGGGCCGCGCGCGGGCCCCCAAGGCGCCGCGACGAGGCGACGGGAGGGGGCGGTGCGCGGGCCCCCAAGGCGCCGCGACGAGGCGACGGGAGGGGGCGACGCGCGGGCCCCAAAGGCGCCGCGACGAGGCGACGGGAGGGGCCGGCGCGCGGGTCCCCAGGGCGCCGCGACGAGGCGACGGGAGGAGGGCGACGCGCGGGCCCCCAGGGCGCCGCGACGAGCGACGGGGGGGGCAGCGCGCAGGTCCCCGGGGGCGCCACGACGGGCAGAAAACCGCCGCGCGCCTCGGGGCGCACGGTGGGCAGAAAATCGCCGCTCGCCCCGAGCGCACGGCGGGAAGAAAAAACGCCGCGCGCTCCGAGTGCGCGGTAGGAAGAAAGGGTCGCGCGCCCGGGGCGTTGGCAGTTGGAGCAGCTGGCATACATATAGAAAACCCTAATTGGGTTGTACTCGCTATAGAGTACCCCACTGCTGGCTAGACAATAATAACATTCTGACAAAAAATCGATCTCAGCCGAAGAGGATACCAGCCGCCTGTATCATTGCAACCGTCGTTCGACTGCATGGGATACCAGCCGCGATAATCAGCGACCGCGACACAAAGTTCACCAACAACTTCTAGAAAAACCTCTGGGAGCAGTTCGGGACAAGGCTACAGTTCAGCTCGTCGTACCACCCCGAGACCGACGGTCAAACAGAGCGGACGAATCAGACAATGGAGCAGTTGATTCGTGCCACGTGCGACGACCCAACCACTTGGGAGCAGCAGCTGCCGCTGATCGAGTTCGCGTATAACAACGCCACGTCAGTGACGACGCAGCAGTCCCCGTTCTACCTGAATTACGGGCAAAATCCTACTGTGCCCATGACGCCGAGTCCGGACAACCCAACACCACGCGCACAACAATTCGCCGAAATTCTGCAAGCTGCCCGCACCAGAGCCGCTGAAGCAATTAAAAAAGCCAATGTCATCGCTAAACACAATGCTGACTGCCACCGCCGCCCAGTCATGTATCAGTCAGGAGATTACTGTCAAATGTTGTAGCCTGTAGTGAGGTTTGTCTTAGGGGGTACAGAAGTTAGGGTTTGTTATATGTACCCCAACCAACATCAATGGCATAATCATTCCTCATTTTGACATGGTATCAGCTAGGTTAGGATCCTGTGGGATCCCGTTCCTCCGTTCTCCGTTCGTCCCTCCCGAGCCTGATCCTACCTCTCGTTCGTACCGGTTCCGTTGTTACCGCGCCTCCCTGACCGCCTAGCCTCCGTTCGTGACGCGCTTCTGCTGAAGCACCCTAGTGAGCTGACTATCGAGGTCCTTGAGTCTGCACTCAAGGACGTCGAGAGCAACCTTCGCTCGGTAGCTGCCGCCTCTGGTACTGTGTCCCCCCCACTCTTCCACGGGTGCACAGTCCCGCAGTTACCCACCTTCACTGCCTCTCTCGCCACTGCCGCTACTGACGCGACTGCGGCTGCTCTTACGACTGCGTCGCGGTCCCGCGGCAAGGGGGGCAAGAAAGGTAGTTCTGGTGGAGGTGGAGGTGGAGGTAGCGGAGGTAGTGGGGGTGCTGTTGCGACTGGCGGTGGTGGGAGTGCAGCGTCTGGAGAGACCCCTCGTGCAGCGGCTGGTGACTCCACTGCGCCTGCTGGTGGCGGCGACCCCCGAGCTCGTCAGCCGCCTCCTGTACTGCCGACCCCGCTAGGTGGAGCAGCGGCGTGGTACCAGGCTCAGCGTCAGCAGCACCTTCAGCAGCAGCAGCAGCCCCTTTCCTCCCGCCAGCCTCAGCAGCAGCAGCGTCAGCAGCTGGCTCCGGGGTCGGGGCTGCGTCAGCCCCAGCGCGGTGCTTCTTACCCTCCCTGCACCTATCAGGTTCTGACAGGTCCTCGTCGGGGCCACCCTTGTGGCCGCTTTCACCCCCCTGGTCAGTGCTTTGCTCAGCTCACTGACACGGTCCGGTTGGCCTACGGGGTTGGCGGTCCTGCTCTTGACTGGCTTCCTCTGGTTCAGCGCTACGGCTCCGCTCTGTGGGGCATGTCTGCTGAGAAGTTAGTTGATCTGATTGGTGCTCCTCATGCTATGTATGCTGTTGTTGACTCTAGTGTTTCTGACTCTGTTTACTCTGGTGTTGTTAGCTTAGGTGCTAGTCTTGCTCAGTTGCCTGTTGCTAGTGTAGGTTCTTGTGTAGACTCTAGACCAGCGACTACCTCAGAGGACGCTTCGCTGTCGTTCACGCTGGACTCTGGAGCCTCACACTGCTTCTTCCGGGACAGCACGACACTTACACCACTTCCTGCACCTGTTTCTGTGGCTTTGGCTGATCCCACTACGGGACCAGTCACTGCACGTCACACTACCACTTTACCGTGTCCTGCTGCTCCCTCCGGGTCTCTCACTGGGTTTCACGTCCCCTCGTTCTCCCGAAACTTGGTAAGTGTGCGACCCCTCGTGAGTCAGCACGTGGGTGTGTGGTTTGAGCCTTCTGGAGAGACTGCGGTGTGTGTTGACGGAGACTCTTACCAGCCTCTTGCTACCTTTACTGCTGAGCCGGGCTCAAGTCTCTACACTCTTCGCACTGGCCCGCGTGCGCCGCAGCAGCAGCCGCAGCAGCAGCAGCAGCCGCAGCCGCAGCAGCAGCAGCAGCAGCAGCAGCAGCTGCACCAGCGGTCGCACCAGCAGCCGCCCCTACTGCCACTGCCCCCGGTTCCCCCCCCCGTTCGGGTCCCCGCGTCTCACCAGGTTGCTTCGTCCCCCCAGGTGTCTGTGTCGTGTCAGGTTCCTACGTCTGCTCCAGTCGCTGCATCGTGCTCCTGCCGGTCGCTTGCCCACCCCACCGTTCTGTGGCACCACCGGATGGGGCACCCGTCCCTTCCTCGTCTGCCCGCTATGTCTAGTCAGCGTCTTGTCCTAGGCCTCCCACGTGTCTTGCCGTCGCTGCCGCCTTCGCTTGCGCCGCCGTGTGGTCCCTGCGTCGAGGGTCGGCTGCGCGCCGCCCCTCACTCCTCCTCCCTTCGTCCGGCCACCGAGCCTTTTGAGACGCTTCACTTGGACGTCTGGGGACCCGCCCCTCGTCTAGGCCCTGAGCGTGAGCGCTACTTTCTGGTGGTTGTTGACGACTTCTCCCGCTACACCACAGTGTTCCCTCTGGCGAAGAAGTCTGAGGTGACTTCTACGCTGATCAGGTGGTTTCTCACCACCGAGGACACTCGTGGTCGTCGTGTCAGCTGCCTCCACTCCGACCGTGGGGGTGAGTTTCGCTCCGGCATTCTCGCTGGATTCTGTCGCGAGCAGGGCATTCGTCAGTCCTGGACGCTTCCAGAGTCCCCACAGCAGAATGGGGTTGCTGAGCGCCGCATAGGCCTGGTCATGGAGATCGCCCGCACCTCCCTGACTCACGCCTGTGCCCCCCATTTTCTGTGGCCCTACGCGGTCAGGTACGCCGCGCACCAGCTGAACCTCTGGCCACGTGTCTCTCGACCAGAGGTTTCACCGACCAGTCTTTGGACAGGGTCCCCTGGTGTTGCGTCGCGGTTTCGTGTCTGGGGGTGCTTGGCTCTTGTCCGCGACACCTCCGCGGACAAGCTCTCGCCTCGTGCCGTCCCCTGTGTCTTCCTTGGTTTCCCTGAGGACTCCTCTGACTTCACCTTTTACTACCCCTCCTCCTTCGGTAGCCTCTCCGGTACAGCCTCCCTCCCCACAGTCCTCCTCGCAGCGTGCCGCAGGTGCTAGCTCTCGAGAGGTTGGTGCTGCGCCTGTTCCTGTACCGGTTTCTGGTTCTGGGGGTGGTGGAGTTGGAGCTGGAGTTGGAGCTGGAGTTGGAGCTGGAGTTGGCACTGGAGTTTCTGGTTCTGGGGCTGCTGGGGTTGGAGCTGGAGTTGGAGCTGGAGTTTCTGGTTCTGGAGTTGGAGCTGACCCGGTGGGTGCAGAGGACTCTTGTCGTCCGGGAGCTGGTGCTGGTCGCGCGGACACTGGGGGTGAGAGTGCGCCTCCTTCGGGTTCTGGTGAGCCTGGGTCTGGAGCTGGTGTTAGTGCTGCCTCTGGGGGTGGTGCGCCTGGTTCTTCGGGGGTGGACTCTGGAGCTACCGCTGCTTCGGACACTACTCCGCCCCCCCACCCCTACCCGACTAGGCACCAGGCTCGTGTTCGCCGTGCCCGTGACGAGCAGCTGGCGTTGGAGAGAGAGGAGAGGGAGTTACAGCGGCTGGAGGAGCAGCAGCTGCAGCAGCAGCAGCTGGACCCGCAGGAGCAGCAGTCCCAGCAGCAGCCGCTTCCGCAGCAGCAGCAGTCGCAGCAGCAGCAGCAGCAGCCACTTCCTCCTCCTGTCTCGGGTCTTCGGACCCTTGGTCTCCCCTCCCCTTCTCCTCCCTCCTCCGCCTCTCCTCCTGTCTACGGTCCCACGTTTCCTCCTCCTAACTCCTCCCCCGCTGTTTTCCCCAGTTCTCCGCCTTTGTCCTCTCCTCCTCCGTCTCGTTCTTGGGCTACTCGTCGCTCCCCTCGTGCTCATCCCTCGTCTCCTGTTCCCTTCACTGACCTTCGTACTGCCTTCCTTCTTTCTAGTCCACCTCGTCCGTCTCAGTCTGTGCTTCCGTCTCCTCCTGAGTCGACCCTCACTGTGTCGCTCCCTACTCCTGTCACTGACTACTACCGCACGTACCGTCCTGTTCTCTCTCGTGTTCTCGCCTCTCTTGTTACTCACCCTCGTGCCTCTGTGTCCTCTGTGTCCGCTCTTACTGCCGCAGTTACTGACTTTGCCTCCACCCGCCGCCTTGACTACGCCACCACGCTTGTGGCTGCTCCTCCTACCAGTCCTCTGGCCGTCGGGGGTGTGTCTGCCCTTGGCTGTGACGCCGTAGAGGACAGGCAGTTTGAGCTAGAGTTCCTGGCGGCCGCTTCCCCTCATCTCTGTGCCATGCTCCTCGCCCCTGAGGGTGACCCCGACGCCCTTGACATTCCGACTCCTCGCACTTACGCTGAGGCAGTGTCAGGGCCTTGGGCCTCTCAGTGGAGAGCTGCCATGGACGCAGAGATGGCCTCCTACAGATCCACAGGCACCTACGTCGATGAGGTTCCCCCCCCTGGGGCGAACGTAGTCGACGGCATGTGGATCTACAGGGTGAAGCGGCCACCGGGATCTCCCCCGGTCTTCAAGGCGCGCTACGTGGCTAGAGGTTTCAGTCAGCGCGAGGGAGTTGACTTCTTTCAGACCTTCGCACCTACCCCGAAGATGACCACTCTTCGGGTGTTACTACACGTAGCAGCACAGAGAGACTACGAGTTACACTCTCTCGACTTCTCCACTGCTTTCCTTCAGGGCAGCCTACACGAGGAGGTCTGGTTGCGTCGTCCCTCGGCCTTCACTGGCACCTTCCCTCCTGGGACCCAGTGGAGGCTGAGGCGACCTGTTTACGGTCTTCGCCAGGCCCCTCGTGAGTGGCACGACACTCTGCGTTCTACCCTCTCTGACCTTGGGTTCCAGCCGTCTTCTGCCGACCCGTCGCTGTTCGTTCGTCGTGGCTCCACACCGTTCTTTGTTCTGGTTTACGTCGACGACCTCGTTTTCGCCACTCCGGACAGGGTTGCTTTGGCAGACGTGAAGTCCGAATTGCAGAAGAGACACACGTGCACTGATCTTGGTGAGCTGCGCCACTACCTTGGCCTGCAGATCACCAGGGACAGAGCCGCTCGCACCATTACACTCTCACAGTCACACATGGTGCAGCAGGTCCTTCAGCGGTTCGGGCTTCAGCACTCCACCGTACAGCGCACACCTCTCGCTGTTGACCACAGACTCACTGGTCCCTTTCCTGACGAGCCGTTTGAGCCTAGTGGTCCCTACGCAGAGCTTGTGGGTTGCCTCATGTACCTGATGACTTGTACTCGCCCGGACCTCGCCTTCCCTCTCAGCATCCTTGCGCGCTTTGTTGCGCCAGGGAGACACCGTCCTGTTCACTGGACGGCAGCTGTGAGGGTGGCGAAGTACCTAGCGACTACATCAGGCGTGGGGCTAGTTCTTGGAGGGCAGCAGTCTGTCGTACTCACTGGTCACTGTGACTCCTCTTACGCTGACGACGCTGAGACTCACAGGTCTACTCAGGGGTACTGTTTCAGTCTGGGTTCTGGAGCTGTTTCCTGGCGTTCCACGCGCTCCTCTTCTGTCTCGACCTCTACAGCTGAGGCTGAGATTTACGCTGGTGCCATGGCGGCACAGGAGTTGCGGTGGTTGACCTGTCAGAATGAGAAACGAGAATGAGTAGTGACTAGCAGGAACAACAGTACAAATATGTCAAACCCTAATCTGGTGTACCCCTTATGGTGTGACCCACTACAGCCTAGAACCACACAAACATATAAATGTTTGACACACCCCCATAGGCAAAGTGGGGGAGACCTAGGGGTCACAAGACCAGTCAAGGCAAAACAAGGCAAACAAGCTCAGGGTGGATCTCGAGGATTCCACACAAATTCCGAGCACAAGCAAGCGGTCACAAGACCAGTTCACATGCAGTTTTAAAATACAGCAAGAGGTACAATGATCACAACCTAACAAGGCAAACATGCAGGTATATATATAATGATCACAGTACAGGTAAAGTAAAGAAGTAAGTAAGTGAGAAACAGTCGGCACAAGGCCTAGAAGAGTGCAAAAACGCTGATGGTCAACAGGCGGAAGCGCCTTGGTGAACACATCAGCAGTGTTGGCCTCAGTGGCCACGTAACGCAGAAGAAGCTGACCACGCTGCTGTAGCTCTCGAGCTAGAAAGTAACGCAGAGCAATGTGCTTCGTCCTGTGCTCCAGTCTGTGCTCCTGGCACAAGGCAATGGTTGCCTTGTTGTCGACGTACAGCACTGGAGGAGAACGAGGCTGCTCTCCAAGGTCAGTCAGCAGGTAGGTGAGCCAGCGAAGCTCCTGGGCAGCCATGGCCGTGGCGTAGATCTCAGCCTCACAGCTGGAGCTGAGAACAGAAGAAGAACGAGTAGAACGCCAAGAGACAGAGCCAGAGCCAAGACTGAAGGTGTAACCCTGAGACGACCGCTGAGTAGCCTGGTCGTCTGCCCAAGAAGCGTCTGAGTGCCCAGTGAGAACAGGCCGGTCTCGCCCTCCAAGCACTAGCCCCATGCCCGACGTACTGCACAAGTAGCGCAACACCCTCTTAGCTGCATCCATGTGCTCCTTCCGGTGACGGCCGGGAGCAACATAGCGTGCTAAGATGCTGAGAGGGTATGCTAGGTCAGGTCGAGTGCAGGTCATCAGGTACATGAGGCAGCCCACAAGCTCTGGATACGGACCACTCGACTCTACGGACTCATCCGAAGGCAGAGCTGAGAGCGAGTGACCCGTAGGCAGAGGAGTGGACTGAGGCGAGGAGTACGTGAAGCCGAAGCGCTGAAGGACCTGCTGCACCATGTGTGACTGAGTCAGGGTAATGGTGCGGCGTGCTCTGTCCCGGGTGATCCGCAAGCCAAGATAGCTTGTCAGTTCACCCAGGTCTGTGCACGTGTGTCTCTTCTGCAGCTCGGACTTCACGTGGGCGAGTGCGGCAGTGTCCGCAGTGGCAAAGACCAAGTCGTCAACGTACACGAGGATGTAGAACGGCGGCAGCGAGGTGTCGGTGCGCAGAAACAGCGACGGGTCAGCAGTAGAAGGAGCAAACCCAAGAGCCGCAAGTGTAGTCCTCAGTGTGTCGTGCCACTCACGCGGCGCCTGGCGGAGACCGTAGACTGGCCGCCGGAGGCTCTACTGGGTGCCAGGAGGGAACGACCTAGTGAAGCCAGGTGGGCGGCGCAGCCAGATCTCCTCGTGCAGGCTGCCCTGCAAGAAAGCTGTGCTGAAGTCAAGAGAGTGGAGCTCGTAGTCACGCTGAGCGGCGACGTGTAGCAGAACCCGAAGAGTGGTCATCTTCGGGGTCGGGGAGAAGGTCTGGAAGAAGTCAACTCCCTCTCGCTGACTGAAGCCTCGTGCAACGTAACGCGCCTTGAAGACAGGCGGAGAGCCTGGCGGCCGCTTCACCCTGAAAATCCACATGCCACTGACGATGTTCGCCCCAGGTGGGGGAACGTCGTCGACGTAGGTGCCTGTGGACTTCCAGGAAGCCATCTCTGTGTCCATGGCTGACTGCCACTGAGAGGAGTAGGGACCGGCCATCGCCTCTGCGTAAGAGCGTGGGGTCGGGATGTCTGGTGCATCCGGGTCTCCCTCAGGGGCAACTAGCATGGACACGAGATGGGGCAAAGCAGCGGCAAGGCAACCAAACTCCTCCTGCCTGTCCTCAAGGACGTCCGTGCCAAGAGCACACTCACCCCCGACGGACGGAGGACAGGCAGACTCAGACTCAGCAACAAGACTCGCTGCGTAGTCTAGACGACACGCAGCTGCAAAGTCGACAAGCTCAGTGACTAGGGCAGACGCAGCAGCGGACTCAAAGGAAGGGTCAGTGACAACCGTAGCCAGGAGACGTGTGACAGTAGGACTGGCAGCGCGAAGGGAGTCTGACTCCGGGTCAGCAAGAGCAGGAAGAGAGGACGCAGGAGGCGACGGGAGAGCAACACGCTGCGGAGCAGTGGACTGACGAAGCGCCATCCGGTGCGTGCCTGGGACAGCAGGAGGACGCTCACGCGGGACACGACT